AGACTATGGCCCTACCCACCGCTGTCCCATCGTTCGGTGGATCGCAGCCAGCCGTAGCCCTACACACCGCCTAATTACTCAGGTCGGTGGACTACAGCCTTCCTCGGCTTATTGGCCCTACACACCGTCCTGGCGCGTTCAGGTCCGGTGGGTCATAGCACCGAGGCCCATATTTGGACCTGTAGTCCAAAAAGTGTATCAATTTGGCCTTTGCCACTTCTGAGCCTTAGCTCAGGAACAATCCATTGGCCTTCAGCCACTTCCGAACCTTCAGTCTGGGAATAATCCATTCGGTCTTCAACCGACTTCCGAACCTTAGTCCGGGATCAGATCATTCAGCCTTAAGCCGACTTCCGAACCTTAGTCCGGGAACTTCCCAATTGGCCTATAACCAAAATGGGGGATCATGCAACACATAACACATAGGAGCACGTAGTAGCACATTGGGAGGGGAAAGACATATAAATAAACTTACGTGTGATCATACACATACTAAGAATAGTCCTAAGGGTTCATACAACTTCCACCTAGGTCAACGGGTTACCAACTCGACTAGCATGCAATTCCTAGGACAAACGGTAACCGAAATATCGAACTAGACTCGAGCACGACAAACGGGGTCCGTTGGGACACCATGGGGAGCGGGGAACATCAAACGGGGAAGCCAGAGACCCGGGGTGGGGTACGGACCAGCGGGTGGCCGGTGGGTGGGGGTCACCCGCCGGCTGCCCGCCGGAGAACACTGTTCCGGGCAGCGGGTCGCCAGCGGGCAGGCGGCTGCCCGGTGGCTGCCCGCTGCCGGGCGGTGTTCTTCGGGCAGCGGGTAGGTGGCGGGTTCCACTACCCCCACTGGCTCTTTACTCACATATTCGTCCCGGGAACCTTCGTGGAACCCGAAACCATGCTTAGACACTTTTAAGCGCAAATAACGACACCACGTAAGCAATTAACGGATCAAAAGCAAGAATCATGTAGTACTTATCCTATTACGACTCCTAAATATAAATAACACCCGAACATGCGAATTCCCACCCAAATATAAATTAAGAACATCACAATACAAATTCCCAATCCATCCTATGGCTCTAATCCCACCCAAATCATCAAGAACATATTTTATCTTTAACATCAAGAAATATCAAGATTCGTCAAGAATCATTACATCAAAATCAAGAACTTCTTTACAACATCAAGATCATCAAGAAATCATATAAATCATCTTATCAATCATTAAGAACATAACACAATTATTATAAAAGAATTCATCAAGACACAAGAATAGAGAGGGGAGGCCAAGGAAGGAGATTATAGCGAAGAAAATAGGTTTTGTTGAGACATGGGTTACCTCTTAGCCTTAATTAATTTCCTTGGCTATGAAGGGTCTTTCTTTAAGCTTTCCTCTTTCTTGATTTCTCCTAAAGGGGATTCTTGAAACTTCTTGTGTGGTGAGAGATTATTGTGGTGTAAGATCTAGGTACCTCCTATGACCCTATATATATATATATATATATATATATATATATATATATATATATATATTCCTAAGAGTCCTAATTGGGGTCTAAATACTATGGGCTTGCTAATTCTATTCCTTATAGGACTAAGGAGTTGGTTATAGGGATGTGGGCCCATGGGCTATGGTGGACCTTTCTTAGTTGATTAAATGGGTTTTTAATTCTCTTTTTAGGGTAAGTGATTAAATACTTCGTTAGGGTTAGGGGTCGTAACACGGGGTGTTACATTAGCCGACGTTAAAGGCCTGTTGTGTAGTAGTGAAAGTCTCTTCTATGAAAAAGACCAAATCCTCTATTCTCTCAAGGGTGGAGGAAAACATTTTTGGCTAAAGGCTAAGGGTTTGATGATGGGGGTTAACACAAAGAAAAACAATCACAATGAAGGATAAGTGATTAGCACTTCTTAAACAAATAAAAGGCTCAAAAGGAGACAACAAGGGGTACTAACATCGATAAGGGTAGACTTAAAGGCTACGGTAAAAACAAAAATGGCCTAAATTTATCACTTCAAAACTTGCAATACTTAGACTTCGCTTAGGAGTAATGAGGCAAGTTCTAGCAAAACAATCATGACCAAAATCTCACATAAGCCTTCACTAGCTATGCATAACATACAAGATCAAGAATTTATTCAATTAATGAGTGGTTAACAAGGCAATTGGCAACAGAATAGACCAATCATTTGTTACACCTCGAATCATCAATCACAAATTGAATTGCAACAAGTACCAACAAAACAGTCCACAAACCAACAAGAGAGAGCAATCATAACTGCATGCTATGACAAGTAACTTATTAACAAAAAGAACATTAGTCATCCAAGCAAAAATTTTGAAAATAACCTCAATTTTTGGCTCCTCCCCCACAGTTAAAAGTTTACATCGTCCTCGATATGAAACAAAATAAAACGGAGAACAAGTGAAAAGAGAAAGATAAAGAGCAATAAACAACACGAACTAAAATATGCTAAATAAGAGACTAAAATAAGACGAAAATATTAGAAAGCAATAAACGAAAATGCAATATGAAAGATAACATGGGTGCTTAGTTTAACATCATCTAGAGGGAATCGTTAGTTGTAAGAATCAAACCCGGGTTATCCCAAAATTCTCTCCCAAAAGAGAGCTCCTTTGCCACTTGAGCTACCCTGTTGGGTTGTAATAATAATAATAATAATAATAATAATAATAATAATAATAATAATAATAATAATAATAATAATAATAATAATAATAATAATAATAATAATAATAATAATAATAATAATAATAATAATAATAATAATAATAATAGTAATAGTAATAATAGTAGTAGTAGTAATAGTAGTAATAGTAGTAGTAGTAATAGTAATAGTAGTAATAGTAATAATAGTAATAATAGTAATAATAGTAACAATAGTAACAATAGTAAAAATAATAACAATAATAACAATAATAACAATAATAATACTAATAATAATAATAATAGTAATAGTAATAATAGTAATAGTAATAGTAATAATAGTAATAGTAATAGTAATAGTAGTAATAGTAATAGTAATAGTAATAGTAATAATAGTAATAATAGTGATAATATTAATAATAGTAATAATAGTGATAATAGTAACAATAATAACAATAATAACAATAATAACAATAATAATAATAATAATAATAATAACAACAACAACAACAACAATAACAATAACAATAATAACAATAATAATAATAATAATAGTAATAATAATAATAATAATAATAATAATAATAATAATAATAATAATTGCAGTGAAAGTTATGGATAAAGGAGAAGAAAAAATAGTGTTAATTGGGAAGGGTAAAGGATGTCATTTCTTTAAAATAATTACGACAAAGTTGGAAAACAAGTTAGGAAGCTACTAGCTTATTTTGAAATTCTACCTTAAGTAGCTTTCCAAAATAAGCTCTTATTCTAAGCTACAAGTTTATTTTGGTAACATTATCAAACAGAGCTTATAGCTTATTAGTAGCTTAAAATAATCTATAAGCTCCTAAATAAGCTCTGCAAAACAGACTCTCTATGTTTGGCAAACATAGCTAAAAAGGTAGCTGAAAGCTGAAAAACTATAAGGTAGAAGCTGAAAACTGAAGAGCGGTTAACTAGCTGATTATGCTTAAGAGTGTTTGGTAAAATTAGGTTTTTGATAAGCTCATAAACGTAAAAAGACTAAAAATGACATTTTCATATAAATTAAATGATGTGATTATTATATTGTTTTAATGTTATTAAATATATGAGATACATTATTTAATTTATAAAAATATATATATTTTATACTCCATAACATATATGAGATATATATTAAATTAAAACAAAAGAAAGAAATTTTTTAATTGGTATGGGTAAAGGATGTTATTTATTTATGAACGGGGCGATTGAAGTTAAAACTTTAAAGAGTTGTTGGGCGTGAAGACTTGCTGAAGAGGATGACTAAAAATATAGGAGAAGAAAAATTCGCAAAAGGGTTTTAATTGGAAAGGTAAAAAATGTCATTTATTTAAAATATAATAAGGATAAAGATGAAAAAAAAGTTAGAAAGCTCCTATCTTATTTTTTAACGCTACCTAAGGTAGCTTTTCAAAATGAGCTATTATTTTTATTTTAAGCTACTAACTTATTTTAGGAACATTGCCAAACCGAGCTTATAACTTATTAGTAGTTTAAAATAAGTTATAAGCTCGGTTAAACACACAGCCTAAATGAGTCTTGTAATTAGTTAGCCTTATCATATTCACATAATTATTATGTTAATCAATTAATTAATGAATCTATTTAAACCAATTGTCAGCTTTAAATGCATATTAAAAATATAAATATAATAATTCTTATACATATGTAATGAATAAAATTATGTGATAGGTAATAGTATTTTAGCAATCCTGAAATAAATATACAAAAGTAATAATAACGTATACGTTAAAGAAAGTTTTTTTTTGGTATACGTTAAAGAAAGTAGAAAAAGTGAATGTTGACCAAACAATGATAGGAAAAAAAAAACCACACTAATTTAAACAAAAACGATGTGATTTTGGACCATGATCCACAATACAAGACGAACTCAAGTTCATAATCTAATTTGCAGTTCACCTTGTACTAGGCTTGCACTTCCCCTTAAGTTTTGTTTGTGGAAAATTTATAGAGAAATTGATATTCAATTTTTTTTTTGGTGTATTTGTCTAACTCTGAAGTGATTATTTGGGGTTGTAGAGTGTATAAATAACCAATAGTTATTGTGTGTATCGTGGTCCACACGGCTATGTGGACTACGACTCAAAAATAACGTTGTTTCGTGTAATTTTTTTTTTTCACGTGAATCACTACGACATATATTTTCATAACTAGTAATGTACATTATTCTAAAGCATAATGTACATTATTCTAACTTATAAAGTATATTATCTTACTCCGAAGATTCATTATTCTAACACTATATATTATTCTCCCCGTTCTCTCTCTTGCTCCTTCTCTCCCCGTTCCCTATTTCCCTTTCAATTCAAGCTTTAGGCGATGGAGTACAAGCTTAGCGCATGTTGAGCTACAGTATATAGTATTATAGTTCTTTCAAAAGTTTAAGCCATTTTTTTTAAGCCATTTAATTATATTAAGAGGTAAGTTTATTCTTAACCTTTTTTTTGAAGAACTTTTTGTTCTTATTAGTTGAATGCGATGCTTTAATTAAATCTAAAATTATGCTTGAAATAGATTTAAAGTAAAATTGACGAATTCATAGCTCTGTGTGAAGAAGGTAAGAAAATGATCATTTAAGTCAATAATTAAAATGGTGATAAAAAAAAATGTAGATAACTTTTTTTTTTTGACCTAATTATTAGGTATTTTGTGCTACAATTTTTATTTAGGTGCTACTAATTTTGAACCATAATTTTTTAATTTTTTGTTTATTAAATTGTTTAATATTTGACGATTGTTATATGTTAGGGTAAACTGTAAAGGACAGATAAACCCTTCAATTTTAAAAAAAAAATAGTATTTTTTTTCTCCAATCTGGAGACAAAAACAAGTTTATCTTCAATATAGAGATGAAGAGCAGTACTTTAGATAAGAAAATGAAAAGCGTAGCTTTTATATATAGATGAAACTTTTTTTTTTTCTATAAATTAGAAATGACTAGAGATGGAAGCTTCATCATTTTCAATCCAGAGATGGGAGATCTTCTTTTTTATTTCCCACCATCTAAGATCAATGCAGGAAATGATCAACGACTAAGTGTGTCAATTGTATTTTTACAAATTTGGTTATACATTTGATTTTTTTTTAATTTGATAATTTAATTATGGTTTTTATAACTAAATGTGTCAATTGTTTTTTTTTTTTCAACAAAAATTGGTTACACATTTGGAGGTTGTGTTTTTTTTTTTTTTTTTTTTTTTTTTTTTTTGAATTTGATAATTTAATTATTATTTTTTTTGTTAACAAAATTACAGAGTACAGTGTATTTAGTTCATATCTTTTGTTTTAGCAATAATAAATATTTAATTTTGTTTCAAAAAAAATTTATTTAATTCAAGAAACAAATTAATTCCATTACAATTTCCTTTGGATCCTCTCTTTCCCTAATGGCATATAATTAATTCATACTCATTTTCTCCGCCCGTCATTACAATTTTTCCTTTTCTGATATAAATTTTTCACAAATTTAAGATGCATTTATTTCCTATGTTAAACAAGAAAGTCGGAAAAACAGAACATAATATTATAAAGGGTAGGGTTGTGAAACTTTATCATTAAGATCGTCAACTTTTTTTACCTAATTTCTTTAATATAATTTAACCTCTTACAATCATAATAATGAGGTAGTGGTGGCGATGTGGTGAAGGTGGTGGTAGTGGTAGTGTTGGTATATTGGTGGTAGGGTGGTGGTGATGGTGGTGTTGTTGTTAGTTGCGATGGTGGTGGTGGTGTGGTGGCGGTGGCAGCAACGACGATGGTGGTGTTGGTGGTGGTAGAGTACTAGTGGTGTGTGAGAGTGGTAGTAATGGTGGTGTGGTGGTGATGGTAGTGGTGGTAGTAATATTGGTGATGATGGTGGTGGTGGTGGTGGTAGTGGTAGTGGTTGTAGTGGTGGTGGTGGCCATTGTAGTGGTGGTGGTGGAGTGTCTGGGGTGGTGGTGTTGTTGGTGTTGGTTTTAATCGTATACTTTATTTGTTTCTCTTTCCGTTCTCAACTTAGAAACTTTTCTCTTTTAGTCGTAAATATGAAATATCTCTTTTAGACCTATCACTAGATTTATATTTTTAACTAATAATTTTGAATGGGTTTAATTTGGGCTGCCTCCCCTTGCCTTGATTCCGCCACTATATATCTGCACACCTAAATTAAGAATCCTACAAGCATTTATTTTATTTCATTTTATTGTGGTCTATCACATCAGGGAGAAAATGGAAAACCTAACTAAGGATCGAGGGGAATGTCAATCCTCAAGCAACAAAAAGATCAAACAGAGTTATACTTTTGAAGTTCATGATTTTCATTTCACTCAAACTATAGGGAATAATGACAAGGAGAAAAAGGTAATTATATATGAATCATTCACAATATTCTTCTTTAATTTCTTCTTTCATAAAAAATAATTACTGTCACAAAGAATCTTTCTCAAGTTTTCATTTGATTTTGGTAGTTAAATGGTATATCTATCATGGTAGATAGTTGGGTTCAAGTTGGAGTATGTTGTTATTTGAATATGTGGATTTTTGTTTGTCGATCTTATGGTGGTCATCCTGGACTAGATAAACTTTGTCCAGTTTTCATTTAGTTTTGTTGTGAAGTGGTAGACCTAGGATTTTAGCGGTTAGGGTTAAAGTTTGAGGATGTGGTGTTGACATATGTAGTTTTGAGTTGAAGATTTAGTGAAGGTCAAGAAGGACTAGAGAAGCGTTGTCGAGTTTTCACACATTTTTTTTTTTTTTTTTTTTTTTGTTGTTGGTGTGATATATCTAGGATGTTAGAGAATAGGGTAAAAGTTTTAGGATATGGCCGGTGTTGAAAGATGTGGGTTTTGGATTATAGATATATGGTTGCCATGAAGGATTAGTGATACATTGTTGAATTTATACTCAATATTGTTGTTCATGAAGTAGATCTTAGTTTTGGTGTTAAAGTCATTGATCTAGTCTAGGATAATATGGATTAGGGTTGAAGTTGAAGGAAGTAGTGTCGAACAATGTTTTTTTTTTAGGTTACAAATCTAAGTAGTAGCCATGGAGGATGCAAAGGTTACTTGAACCATTAAAGCTAAGGGATCTTAAAGGGTAGTTGTTTAGGGACTAGATTAGCATCTTAGGGTGATGAAAACGGTTGGAAATGGTTGTAGAAAAGCTTGAGTTGTGGCCTAGGGTTGGTTCTTTCTACATCATAAATATATTGTTGTTATTTATTCAAGGAGATATTTTCATTGTTGGGTTGCAAGCTATATCATTTATATTTGGTTATTTTTGGTTTGATATTCATTTGTATTCACTTTATGTCATTATGTCTTTATAAAATTTTATCATGTCAACAAGAAAAATAAAAGAAATAATAAAAAAAAAAAATCCAAACAACAAACTTTTTTAATTAGTAGTAACTTTTTCATTGTTTTGTCATTTTGAAGCTGATTCCACCAATGTTTGTCAAGCACTTGGGAAAGTGGTTAGGTGATATTTCAACCTTGAGGCGACCATCAGGACACCAATGGAGGGTTCACATATGCACGGATAGAGATGGCACTTTTTTCAGCAACGGTTGGGAGACATTTTATAAAGACAATTGTCTTGACATTGGTCAAGTTGTATTCTATACATATGTTGGAGGCATGCACTTTGATGTTAAAATTTTTAACAAAGATGGACGGGAGAAGATGTGGGACTCAAATTTTATTCAAAATTCTAATGAAGAAAGTGATCATGATAATCCTTCAACTCCAGGTACACATTTATGAATTTAAAAATGTCAAAATATTTTTTTGTGTACTTTATTTATTTATTTGTTGGCATTTCAAATGATGAATTACTAAATTAATCAAATGAATCTAAATAATAAAAACATGATTATTTTTTATGTAAACTTTGTGTGCATCTAATATTGTCTATTTTATGCATTGGTCCATGTGCCCTCCCCTATACACAAAGACCTATGGCTGTTGCACTCATGCAATCTTCTCTCAATTCAAAAATATCACATCACTAAATTTGTAGAGTTAATACCATCTGAGGTCGCCCGAGTATATTGGTTTTGCCATGTTTAGTCCTAAACTTTCAAATTGACTATATGTGGTCCTTCGACTTTCAAACTTAACCATTCATGGTCCAAGTTAACCACACATGGTCCTTCAACTATTAAATTTTAACCATCCATGGTCCTTTCATGAGGATCACTACTGGTTAAATTTCGAAACTTAAAGGACCATGGGTGGTTAACTTGGACCACGACTGGTTAAATTTGAAAGTCGAAGGACCAGAATTGGTCAATTTGAAAGTTTAGGACTAAACGTGGCAAAACCACTATACTCGGAGGACCTCAGATGGTATTAACTCTAAATTTGTATTATGTGTCCCTCTGGATCCGTGAGTTCAAATCAATTGGCATGCACTGGGTGACAATTTGTGTTATCATTTTAGAAAAATACCTATGGAAAGTATTTTCAATATTGTTGAGGATGTTTTTTGATATTTTTGATGTAAATATTGTATGAGTTGGAAGTGTTGTGGTCGAGAAATTGCTACTTTGAGAAGGGTTATACTTTGGAAACCTATTTTTGAGAAAATGTACGATTATGGTATTGATATGAAATTATATATGAGAGATGATATTTTCATAGCCTAAGGGCAATGAATATTGAAGTATATTTACATTATTTTGGAGAGTATATGATTATGTATATGTATTTAGAAGAATATGTTACAAAACTATATTATTTTGGGAGGACATATAGAAATGTATTATTTTGGAGTATATGTGATTTGTGGGCTAATGCCATATTTTAGAGGTGTATCCGGTAGAAAATATCTTGGATACTTTATTTGAGGAGTAACTGGGAAGAAAACATCCTGGGTAGTTACTAGACTTGGTTTACTACCCGTTGGGCTTGGAATCCCAAATAGGGGGTGTGCTCACTTACTTAAGGTAGTGGCCCTGAATTCACATTTGGAAAGTGGGTTTTTGTTGTGCGTCTAGTAAAGGGTTACTGTTCACTTAGAGCTTCACTGAGATGATGTCCTTGTCCCACTAATGTGATTTGAATTCCTCCTCCATATGTGTATGTGATACTGAATACTTTGAGAAATGTATTGGGAATTCCTCTAATCCCTACTCATATCTATATATATACACTTATGTTGTGTGTGTGAGAATATATATATATATATATATATATATATATATATATATATATATGTTCACTTAGAGCTTCACTGAGATGATGTCCTTGTCCCACTAATGTGATTTGAATTCCTCCTCCATATGTGTATGTGATACTGAATACTTTGAGAAATGTATTGGGAATTCCTCTAATCCCTACTCATATCTATATATATACACTTATGTTGTGTGTGTGAGAATATATATATATATATATATATATATATATATATATATATATATATAGTAGAGTTCAGGTGTGGCCGCACCTTACCGTGCGGTCAATGCGGTTGCACCAATAGTTATGCGAATATGCACCAACAATGTTAGGAAATGCATAACACAAATATGCACCATTAGGTACGCATCACCTAAAAATGTAGCATTAGGTATGCAATTATGCATAAAAGCACCACATAGTGTTCAGAAATGCACAATTAGGTGTGGAAAGTTATGGTGCATTATTTTGGGTGTGTTGTGCGTTTTTCGGTGTATTTTTTCTTTTTTTTTTTTTTAACACTATTGGTGCCTTTTGTTAACACCATTGGTGCATTTGTAAGTAGCCACACCAACTGAACTGGAAGGCGCGACCGCATTTTAGCAGAAGTCTATATATATATTAAATCTTTTTCTTATAAAGTTAAAAATTGCAATTATTTTATGGGGTAGAATAGTTCTTACTTAGCATTTTTATGCTAACTTTGTGCTTTCATATGTTTTGAACTTATCCTTTTCAGATCTAGAGTAGTGCTTGCCTGGAGAGAGCGAAGTAGTGATTTGGAAGTGCTTCTTAGTGATTCGTCATGCATAGACTTGACATTTGAGACATTGATGTTACTTTTATGGATTCTGTTTAGATAGTAACTTTATAATCCCTTATTTTGAAATGTATGGATTTGGGGACTTATAGAACCCATATTTTAGAATTTATGTTTTGGTGGAAGCCTTACATCTATCTGTGTGTGGATAGGTGTGGCGGTAAAACTCTCCTCTTTTAAGGGGTACAGTTTTAATATTATGATTGGATGATGTTATTTTAAAGGATATTTATTTCATTTAAATTAAATGTTTAATTTCCCTTATACATTTTTTGGTGTTACAATTTGGGGGTGTTACACCTAACATGTGTCAAGATTATTTACTTGTTGAACAAGTTTATACTACTAAGTTATTAAATATTTGAAAAGTTTAATATATGAATAAGTTTTTATTGTTTTAATTTCGATGTTGCACATGCTGAAAGAGTTATCATACCATGAGATGTTTCCCAACTAGGAAGCCAAGATTGTTTTTAAAAAAAATTTGAAACAAAATGTTTGGATAGTGAAAGTTCAGGGAATGATGAATGGATGCATTTATTAATGTGTTTGCTTTTGTGTTGGCAATTATTGTATTATATAATTTTATTCTATAATTCTCATCAATTGCTTGGAAAATCAACTTGTCTAGAACTATGAATATATGGGGAGAGGAAATTGGAGTACAATTTTGAGGAGTCTAAATGGGAAAAAAATGTGATGTATAATTTGAAGAAGATAAGAATGAAGACTTGCTAATAGAATAAGTCCTACTCTACCTATGATAAACTATTGATAGTGACTCCATAAGAAAAATTATTCTTTATTCATGAAAAAATCTTGATATTAAATGAATTCTATTAGTGACCAGTCATTCCTAACACCGCTAGGTCCAAAATCCAAAAGCTAAGCTAAGATGCATTCAAAAATTAGTCCATTTATCCATAACCAAGAAGCATATATAGTTTCAAGAACTGCAAGAAATATTAGAACATTCATTACATTAAGAAATTAAACCTAACATTGAAAGCTAATAATTTGGCTTAGTGATATGAGCTTAATTGTACATGTTTCTAGTGTTAGTTTGAATCTATTTGTGGGGTTTAAGTTCATGAAAATATTACTTTAATTGCATATTCCTTATTTTATCAGTTCTATAAGATTTACACTTGTTTCGAATGTTTTATGGTGTTTGTTAGTGTTTTGGAACCATTATAGTGCAAATGCGAAAGTAAGGGAAGTTCTAAGACAAGTTTGGAGCCAAAACAAAGTCAATGTGAAGCTAAGGAGGTAGCTAAAATGTTTCAAAGAGAGCCAAAAAGTGGTACGTTCAATGGATTTGATCACAAGAACAAAACAAGGGAAAAGTGGAGCAAAAGATCAAGGAGTTATAATTCCCGTTAAATTTGATGACACCTTAGTATTTTGATCATATCTTACTCTAGAAATGTCCGATTCGGGTGATTCTTGCTCCATTAGAAAGAAGACTGGAAGGTCTACAACTCAAGACTCAGAAAAAAAAAAAAAAATCGACGCATCAAAACTTTCCAGTGAAGTTTCATCACTTTTCAAAATAGCAAAATTCTCGCACAGATTCGCGATAGTTTGGTTTTTGGATCATATCTCAGCCTAGGAATACCCAAATGAAGTTATTCTTGCTCCATTGGAAAGAAGACTCGAAGGGATACAACTCGTATAAAGACATCAAAGTCTATATTAAAAGGAAAAAGTGTCAAATAAACCTGCAAACCGGAGCTACGTCACTGGGCGAGAATTTGGAAAGCTGTGTGGAAATTCCTAATCTATTCCTATTGAGCTTCAACTATAAAAAATCCATCTTCCCTCAACCCTAGAGAATTATTCAAAGTTTTGGAGACAAGAAAGAGTGAAAATTGAGAGTTACAAGTTGTCTTGGGAAGAAAGGAGAAAAGCCAAGGAGATTTGGGAGAATCACTCGGTCTACTCTTTTACTTACTTTTATCTCTGGTAAACTCTTTATTATTGTTATGTATTGCATATTAGCCCCTGCTTGGCTAATTTACGTTAGATATTTTTGGGTAAAAAGTGTTTATGAACCTATGTGCTTGTTTATCAGATTCTTAATATATTGATGTTTGGGTTTTAAACTTTTGTTGCAATTGTGTTTTGTATTGTTAATGCTAGTAGTTAACGGCCGTAATTACTTGTTTCATAGATTTCTTGGTGTCATAACGGGAGTTAGACATAATTTAGGACACACACAAGTGCACTTAAATATTGCACCTTTGGAGAGGGCAAATTAGTTGCGGAGTTTAATTCTTGATTGTTGCACATCGGGAGATGGTAGTAGTTAGGAATTTATTATGAATGCATGTTCTTATATTGTTTAGTGTTTAACTGTTTATATCACGGGAGTGAATATTGACTTGTTTTAGGTTAGAGATTACGGGAGTAACTATTTCCCTTGTTGCATTCTCATACTTGTTTAAACTCATATTTAATATTGCACTTTTAAGATTGACATTAGGTGATTAAACACTTGAATCCTAGGTATCTCATTCTCTCTCTATTGTTTTCACAACCCTGCTATTTTGCTTTCTTTTAGTTATTTTATGCAACCATCCATGATAATTGATGCGTAGTATATTTGCCAACAAATAATACTTGGAGTACGAATTATCGATCCCCAGGGAAGTGGTTGTACAAGCACTAGTTACTAATTTATTCATTAGAGCTAATCTTAACAATTGTTTAGATGATTGATTTGCATAAAATAAATAAAATAAAGAAGAGATTCAGGATTTTGAAAACAATTAGAGAGAAAATGTGAATCCTGGGATTCAAGTATTTAATCACCTAGTGCCAAATCTTAAGGACAATATTAAAATCTGGGTTTAACAAGTGTGATGATGCAAGGTGGTATAGAGCTACTCTCGTAGTCACTAACACTAGTGAATTTCCACTCTCGTGGCTTAAACACCCAATAAAACAAGATAAGCATCATAAATTCCTAACTACTACCATCTCTCGATATGCAATAATCAAGAATTAAACTCCCTAAATAAATTACTCTTTCTCAAGGTGCAACAATTAGGTGCAATTGTGTGTGCCCAAAGTTATGCCCAACTCTCGTTGTGACACAAACAAAGCAAACGAAACAAGTAACTATGGCCACTAATTACAAGCATCAAACAATATTATCACAATTGCAACACAAATATTAAACCCAAATAATAATATATTAAAGAAACTGAGAGCTCAGGCACATAAGTTCATAAACACTTTTACCCAATAATCTTTAAAGAATTTAGCCAAGCATGGCTAAATTATACATAGCAAATATAAATAAATAATTACAAATCATCAAAAGAGTACAAGAATTAACCAGACGATTTTCTCAAATCTCCCTAGTCTTCTTCTTGATCCCCAAGACAACTTGTGGCTCTTGATTTCTCTCTTTCTTGTCTCCAAAGATCTGTATATTCTTTGAATTATTTTCATTAGGATTGAGGAAGGAGGGATTTTATAGTAAGAGTTGAACCGGGATCAAATAGAAATTTCCTTATTTAATTAGAAATTGCGAATGCCGACTTTATTCCTTTGAAATGTGCCGCCTTTGTTTTTGTAGAATTGCCATATTTTTATTTGGAATGTAGCGCCCTTTTATTTCTGGAATGTAGCAGATTACTTCAGCTTTGGAGAATGCATTCTTTAATTAGGAAAATGCCGCCCCTTTGTAAATTGTAAATCCGCGCTGTTGTGTTTCGCTCGTTCGACGCGTCGAGCGCTGCTATGCTCGAACATATTACTTTCGGGAAAATTTTGACGCGTCCTGTTCGAGACTCGCGCGTCGAGCCTTCTGGGTTTTAACTTGTCCATTTTAGTTCAAAACTCGTCCTAAAACTTCCCTTGCTCATAGAATAGACCAATAATGGTTCTAAAACACTAACAAACACCGTAAAATATTCAAAACAAGTGTGAATCATAAATAAATAAATAATAAAATAAAGGATTATGCCAATAAATTACCAAAAACATGAACTCAAACCTATCAAATATAATTAAATCAATACTAGAAATGTGCACAATTGTGATTACATCAATAATCATTTGGATTAGCTTCATAAGAATAAACTAGTAGCTAGTGCTTGATACGCCCCACTTCCCTGTGGATCGATAACCCGATACTCTGTGTATTTGTTTGAGAATTATACTGCATTCAAATTGGCGCCATTGCTGGGGAAGTGGCGTTTAAGTATTGACATTAGTGATAGTTTTATTCTAGGAGTCTAATCCACCATTTTCTTTATTTGTTTTTATATTTATTAACAATTTTCTTTAGTTTATGGATGGATATGAATTTCAAAGAACCATGCCACCGTTCTACCTTCCTTCCCAGGGTTAGGATGAATAATTGGAATACGAACCAAGAATATGGAGGAATGGAACAACAATTCCCTTTCTCAAATTTTGCCAACTCAAGTCAAGGATATTTTCAAGAAAGCTCATCTAAAGCATTCATAACACATCCCCAATGGTGCTTAATTTGTGGTGGGAATCACTTTGTGGAAAATTGCTATATATTCAACCCCATCAATCATGCTCCTCAACAACCTATTCAAGGATTTTGTGCCAACATGAGTCAAGCCACTTATCAAGGAGGCACACAACCGACTCCACAACCCTTATGGTGTATCTTATGTGGTCCCTCATGAGGTGGAAAATTGCTTCATCTTGGATCCCAATTACCAATATCAAGGGCAAGATCAAGAGCCTCCATACCAAGAGTTTTAACAAGAATGCCAACCACTTGACCCAATATTTGAGATGAAGTCCACGAAGGCTTACAGGCTTATGCAATTGTCATCTCAATTAAATGAGCTACAAGTTCAAGTGGATCACATGATTGGTCAAGGGCAAGATTTGACAACTCAAGAGCTATTTCAATATTCATTTTCTAATGGAGAAGTTTTACAAGAGTTGTTCTTGCTAAATGAATGTCATGAGGTTGATGTAAATGAAAAGGAGGATGAGGACCTTGGAGAGGAAGATGAAGGAATAATTGATGAATGCATTGAGATGGAAACTTCGAGGGGAGAAGAAGATATTGAAATGCAAGGAAATGGTGGTAAGGAACACATTGATAATTGTCCATTAGATGAGGAAGATTTGAAGGAGAATGAAATTAATGGAGCACATGATTTGAATGAGGATGCACCATCAATGGAGAACACTTCCCTTGGAGAGGATTTTAAAAAAAATTTGAATCTGAGAGGCATTGAAGTTCTTGAGAATGAAGGACCACAATGGCCTATCTTCATATCTAACGATTCTCACTTCTTGTTGGTACAAGTGGATGACCCAAGATTTCCATTGCTTAACAGGGATGAGAGCAAAGAGAAGAATGAAAAGGTTAAAGGTCAAGAACATTCACTACATGGAGTGATTGAGAAAAAGCTCTTGCCGGAATTTATTGTTGGTAATGAATTTGAGGAGAATGGAGGAAAATTCCTTGAAGTGGAAAAATGCAAAATATTTTAGAAGAGTGTGATGGACTTGAGCTTCAAGGAATTTGTTACGGTCATCACTTAAAGGCATTCTTGGAAGAGAAAATTGATGGAAAAAAGGGGATTTTCATTCTCACATCTTTTGATGGCTAGCACTTGAGAGGTAACGTCGAGCTAGCGACGTTAAACTTAACGCTTCATGGGAGGAACCCCATGTTATCTTTCAAGCACAAGGCACCAGAGTTTATCGTAGTGTCCTCACTGGATGGAGTCCCCCGACAATTTGCTGATGGATCTGCTGAGATAAAACCAATGGAGACATGGACTGAAGATGAGATGTCGTCCTCTGATCTGAATAATAAAGCGTTAAATTCTATTGTAGGATCTCTACATGAATTTGTCTTTACCTTGGTTATAGGGATAAAGGAGACAAAACGCGAATGAGAAATCCTTGAAACTAGATTTGAGGGTACTAGTGATGTCAAACAGTCAAAGCTTCAGATGGTTTTATTAGAGTTCGAAGCTCTCAGGATGAGTGAAGAAGAAATTATCTCCAACTTCCATAGTCGAGTTCAGAATCTGATGAGCAAAGCATCAGTACTTGGAGAACCTTTTACAGATGAAAGAGTTGTCATGAAGATCATTCGCTCTCTGCCCAAACGATTCCGATTGAAAGTGATTGCAATTCAGGAAAACACAGGATGGGTGAATAAGAGTGTGGGAGAACTTATGGGTAATCTACATACATATGAACTTCAAGTGTTGGCTGATGATGATCCTACAGTCAGCAGAAAAGGAAAGTCAGTGGCTTTTGTCGCTGAGACTGATAGAGAATCTAACATAGACGACATAGATGATGAACCCCTAGCCTTGTTAACAAAAAATTTCAAGAAAATTCTAAAAGGGTTCAACCGAAGAAGTCATTGACAACCTAACAGGGCTCAGTACAAAAGTGGAAACTCCTCATATCCAAAATCAAAATCGTCCTCCTTCTCAAAGAACAATCAGTCCCAGACTGGTCGAACAGGGCAATTCAGAAGTACACCTACTGACACAGTGAAAACTCTAAATCGGTCAGTACAGTGTCGCGAGTGTGAAGGTTTTGGACATATACAATATGAATGTGCAACGTATCTCAAAAGAAAGAAATCTATGTATGTGTCTACCCTAAGTGATGATGAAGAGGAAGCAACAAATGATCCATCTGATGAAAATGTTGAAAACTTCGTAGCCTTCTTCACGGCAACAGAGGATCACTCAGAAGATGAAACTGATGGAGAATCCTACATATCATCAGATGATTTTGAAGAGAGACATGTTCAACTAGAGATGGACTTTGCTAAACTGGTTGGCAGTTGGGAACAAAGATCTGAAACACAGAGATGAACTACTAAAGAAACTGAACACTGAATTAGTCACAAAAGAAGATCTTGTCGCTCAGATCAGATCTATAGAGGGAAAGCTGATAAAAGAACTGGAGGGTCTGAAGAAAACCATCAAGATGATGGATACCACATCTACCTTAGACAAAATTCTGGATTCTGGCCGAAATCCTAATGATAAAAAGGGACTTCGATTTGAGCGAGGACAACCCTTAATGTCAAATCCTGTTTTTATCAAAGAAGGTACATCCGGTGGTGATTCAGCTCTCTGTCATGAACAAGGTCAATCATCAAGATCAACTCAGTTCAATCAGAAAGGAAGCATGCACACTCTGATTACTGAGGCTAAATCTAGCAGTGTCAAATTTCAGTCTCAGCACTCAAAGTTTAAGAATAAGTTTGTTAAAGTCAAACAGTATGTACCCATCTGTCACTACTGTCTAACAAAAGGGCACATCAGACCTGAATGTTACTTCTTCTACAGAGATCAGAGAAAGGAGAAATATCAGAACAAGTCTATTACTCCTTTCACAAGGCAAGTGTGGGTCAGGAAATCAAGAGTAATTTGCTATCCCACAATTGTTCTGACCGCCTCTATGCCTGAAGCAAGATGGTACTTCGACAGTGGCTACTCTAGACATATGACTGGGAATGCCAAGTGTCTCATGGTTGTTCAACCTAGCAGTGGATCAGTGACGTATGGCGACGGACAAAAGGGAAAGATAATTGGTAAAGGTACTTTAAATGTGCCACGATTGCCACATTTGGACGAAGTTCTCTTAGTCAGTGGCCTGAAAGCAAATCTTATTAGCATCAGTCAGCTGTGTGATCAGAATTGAAATGTGTGCTTCAACCGAGACTGCTGCAGAGTCCGTGATAAGGCAGATCAAGTGGTAATGGAAAGAACCCGCTCTTCTGACAATTGCTATGTTTTAACAAATGAAACTACCTGTCTTATATCAAAAGCAGACGAATCAAAACTATGGCATCAACGATTGGGACACATAAATTTCAAAGATATGGACAAGGTGATCAAACTTGAAGCTGTTCGAGGGATACCAAAGCTTAAAATAGAACAGGAAGGAGTTTGTGGTGCATGTGCTATTGGAAAACAAATCAGGGCCCCTCACAAAGCAGTAAAGATGATTACTACTGAGATGTCTAGAACTGGTTCATATAGACCTTATGGGACCAACTCAGATTGAATGCATTGGAGGAAAGAAATTCATCTTTGTGTGAGTGGAAGATTTCTCACGGTTCAGTTGGGTATATTTTCTAATAGAAAAGTCTGAGGCGTTAATGCTTTCAAAACTCTGTGCATAAGAGTACAAAAAAGAAAAGGACGAGCCCATTGTAAAAATCCAAATGTTGAGGAGTGATCATGGAAAAGAGTTCGAGAACACCTTATACTTAGAGTTCTATTCAGCAAATGGGATAGTTCATGAATTCTCCGCTCCACGAACAACACAATAGAATGGGGTTGTGGAAAGGAAGAATCGAACCCTGCAGGAAATGGCAAGAGTTATGCTACATGCCTCACATCTGCCACAACGTTTCTGGGCAGAAGTAGTGCATACTGCCTATGATACAGTCAATAGGGTCTATCTCAGACCAGGTACGTCTCAGACGCCATATGAAAGATGGAAGGGAAAGAAGCCAAACTTGAAGTACTTTCATGTGTTTGGAACCAAATGTTATGTTCTAATTGACCGAGAACAAAGAGGAAAGTTCGAGCCCAAGAGTGATGAGGGAATATTTCTTGGATACTCACCAAGCAGTCGAACTTATAAGGTTTACAACAAAAGGACTCAATCAGTCATGGAATCAGTGAATGTGGTTATTGATGATAACCCTGAAGGATCAGATGAAGCATCTGTGATTGATCCGGCGACAGACATCCCTATCAGTGATCCGCTAAAAACATCTGACACAACGAAACTGTCTAACACTCATGAATCTTCAAAAGAAGAAGAAATTAACTCTGAAAGGACAAATTGCGTTCTGATGGAGATGGAAAAAATAAGCCCACCAGAACTCAGAAAAATCATCCATCAGACAACATAATTGGTGATCCAACAGATGGAATGCACACCAGAAGTCGGATGAGAAGCAATGTGATAGAACTAGTTGGGTTCGCCTACTACACCTCAAAAATAGAGCCAAAGAATGTGAAGGAAGCCTTGGAGGATGACTTATGGGTTAAGGCAATGAAAGAGGAGCTACATCAGTTCGAACGAAATCATGTGTGGGATCTGGTTCCAAGACCTGACAAAGTTAACATAATCGGAACAAAGTGGATTTTTAAAAATAAAACTGATGAAGCAGGCAACATTGCAAGGAACAAAGCTCGTTTAGTGGCTCAATGGTATACTCAGATAGAAGGAGTTGACTATGATAAGACATTTGAACCTGTTACTAGATTGGAGTCAATCATAATCTTACTAGCAATAGCATGCATTCTGGGTTTCACACTGTTTTAGATGGATGTCAAGACGGCATTCTTGAATGGTTATTTGCATGAAGATATTTATGTAGCACAGCCTAAGGGATTTGAAGATCCAGTTCATCCAACTCATGTCTACAAACTTAGGAAAGCTCTCTATGGACTCAAACAGGCTCCAAGGGCATAGTATGAACGACTGGCGCAGTATCCGTTACATCATGGTTATGATCGAGGGAGTGTTGACAAAACGTTGTTTGTTAAAACCATTGGAAGTCATGTTACAATTGCTCAGATCTATGTAGACGATATTGTGTTTGGGTCTACTCTACAGAAGTATACTGATGATTTAGTGGAAGTCATGAAAGAAGAATTTGAAATGTCCATGGTTGGTCAATTGACTTACTTCCTAGGGCTTCAAGTTAAACAAAGTTCTGAAGGATATTTTATCTCCCAAGAAAACTATGCTAAGAACTTGGTCAAAAAATTTGATCTGGAACTATGTAAGACACCTAGGACTCCTATTTCGACCTCTACGAAGCTGTCTAAAGATGATGCAGGTCCATCAGTATATTCCACAGTCTATCGAAGCCTGATTGGAAGCCTGCTCTATTTAACTGCCAGTCGACCAGACATAATGTTCAGTGTTGGTATGTGTGCAAGATATCAATTTGCTCCCAAAGAGTCACATTTGATAGCTGCTAAACGGATTTTGAAATACATCAAGGGTATAATCCAATATGGAATATGGTATTCCAAGGACAGTGAACTGAGTCTGATTGCGTACTGTGATGCTGATTGGACAGGAAATATTGATGACAGGAAAAACACATCTGGTGGATGCATCTTTATTGGGAAAAACTTAGTATCATGGCTCAATAAGAAACAAAATTCAATTTCTCTAAGCATAGCTGAGGAAGAATATATAGCAGCTGGGGGATGTTGCACTCAACTTGTCTGGACGAAGCAGATGCTGCTGGATTATGGTCTTTCTTAAAACTCTATGACACTTTACTGTGACAATGTCAGTGCAATAAACATTTCAATGAATCTTGTTCAACACTCCAGGACCAAATATATTGATATAAGGCATCATTATATGAGAGATTTGGTCGAAGCAAAAGAGATAGAGTTGGAATATATTCAGACAGACAAGCTGTTGGCAGATATATTGACTAAACCTCTAGATGCAAATCAGTTTGAGATTCTCAGATCTGCTCTGGGAATTTGCAGGATGGACTGATAAGGCAGAACGGTAAATCAGAAAGAGAGTCCTTGGTTTTCTCAGTCTCGAGTCAAAATTCCAATCTTTGACTTCCTAAATTGACTCTCTTATGTTTTGTTAAGTAAATATCTTAACCTAGCCTACCAAAATTAAATTGCATCTTTTGAATTTCAAATCTACCGTTTTATCCCTAATAAGGAGCTATAACGTTGCGTCAATCACTTCATAGCTGCATGCATCCTGTCAGCCGCATTGATTAGCGTTCCTCACCCTTGGGATTATTTATTTCATCTGATCGTCTTTGTGGAATAGGAGTACTCATCTCTACTCTGCTCTCTGTTAATCTTCTCTAAAATTTCCTCTGCCTAGGGTTTTTTCCACTCTCTCTTTCAAAACACACAGATATGGCTGATGTAGTAAGGAATATTATTATCAAGTTGGGAAGGAAATATCACTCACCAGAAAGTGCTCAGAAGCATGTGAAAACACCTCTCCAACTCGCAATGAAGAAGAAGCTGAAATTGGACCCGGTTCTTCGCGACGAGGTCCTTGTCACGGTGAATCTGACTACCCTAAGTTCTATGAGGACTAGTTAGACGATGATACAAGCAACCTTTTGATGATGGCTTCCGAAGAAGGTGATGATATTAGCCCTGCCTCGATTGACGAACCAGAAGATGGGAATCGTATAGGGGCATTCCTCAAATACTTTGCACAAAGGGATCTGGAATGGGAGGAAATTTCTCGTCGACGGGCAGAAGCACATCCTCTCTATCTTCAAGCGGCTCAGGAGGAGGCTAAGCACCGTATTGCGATTCTACAAAACAGGTCAAATACTTCTGATACTCCGATTGAAATTGCTCCTGATAAGCCTTCTGAGTTGTTATTTGATGATGTTGAGTCTGAGCTACCTATTGAAAAGTCTGATAGAGCAAAAACCTTAATGTCTGATAAGCCTATTGTATCTGATGATCCACTCCAGTTGTCCACTGTAAAATCTGAGTCTGCAAAACCTGTTCTTGAGATTGAATCTGAGGAAAATGTTCACGAGTTTGATAATATTGATAAATTGAGTTTGGTTGTATATTCTGCAGATGTTGATCGTTCGATGGCTTCTGTTGATCATGTGTCTACTCTATCTGATAAGCCCTCTGGTAAGGATTGCCCAGTTGAATATCCACAAAAGAAGTCTGTTGAGACTATTGTTGAACAGTCCGTAAGCCCTCGTCCTTCCGAGTCGATTGAAGGTATCCCTGTCTATACATCCTCCAACTTTGCTGAGAGCCTTGACCATATTCGTCACTTTGCGGGATTACCCTCTGCCACGATACCTGAACCATACGGGTCATACATCCGACGAATGAGCCTTCCGTCCAAATAGACAGCGATGTTGAAAGAATTATAGCTGAAGTATAAGGTCCACAAGCCCCATCATCTGACCCGAATAGGTCTCTAACAGTTGAAGAACACAGCACACCCAGATTCTACTACATTCAAAATCAGAGAAGTAGCTTCTTGCATCCTCATCTGCTCATGTGTCTGAGACCAGCAATTCTGTTTCTCCGAGTCCTACAAAGAGTTCCCCTGTCAGAGAAAGGTGAAAGTCCAAACGAAAAGGAGTTCCAGCGAAAGTTACTGTGGACACTAGTTATGAAAATACCGAATCCACTCAACCAAAGAAAAGAAGAAGGTCAGTTGATTCTGAGAAGGCTGAAAGTGAATCGCCGGTCAGGAAAGACTTTAAGACCCTGAGATCGTCGGTTAAAAATAAGGCTCCTACAGTTGTTCCATCCACAACAACCAGAAAGATGAAAGCTACTACAAAGCCAAGAGGAAGGAGTGTTACTCCTGATGTGCAGAATGTTTCTGACAGTCCTGATACTTCTGTTTACAAGCCACAGTTTGTCTCTACACCAGCTCAAGACAAGTGGTCTACAATGGTGAGACGAGAGCTAATAGTCTAGAGATCAGTGGATGAGAATAGATTAAATTCAGTCTGTGATGTCTTTCCTCTGCTGAGTGAGGTTTGTAACACCCCTAAAATTTAAAACTTTGAATGCTTATGAAATAAAGGCAATACAATCATTAAAACCCGAAACAGAGCATGACTAAACATAAGCGTTGGGGTGCTATGCCACATCTGAGTTGGAGAACTCAGATGATCAGGCTAAACTATCTAAACATTAGAAATCCTCAAATCAATGTCAATATGTCAATACATCATCATAGCACGCAGACCGATAAGGAACTAACTAGCTAAGTGGTGAGCTGTCGTAGGCTCCCAAATTAAAACCTTACAAACGTAGTAGCGGGAGTAAGGATCGATTCCACGAGGAGTACATAGTTTAATGTATGTGTTCAAATTAAATTAAAGGCAGGTTTGGTATGAAGGTGATAATCAAAGAAAATAAACGAATAAAGCAATGAAAACAATATATTGAAAGCACCTATAATAGAAAACCTTGGTTAGTAAAGATCCACCACCAGAATTTAACACTGATCATTGATTCAAAATGTAGTTAATATGCAATTGAATATTTGTCGTGAAATTATTTCATTTCCGTTTTCCCTTAGTTGTAGGTAACTAAAGCACACGTGGTTTAATTACCCCTCACTACTAAATAACCTAAGACAAGCGCTATAGATTTAATTTAATAGCAGCAATAGGAACTAGGAAAACCAACAAACTAAATAACACAAGCACAAGCGGTTGCATTTAATTTAGGAAAATATTCTTCCTGAAATCAATTATCACTAAGCCGTCAATAATTAACCTCAGTTGCTACTGAATAATAGAATAATTTGTAGCAAAACATTATCTAATATAACAAATAATTATATCAAATAACTTAGAAGAATATTTAATACCCAAATGCATAAAAATTATATAATAAAATAAATAAATAATCTTACAGCATAATCAATTCCGTGGCTTCAATTCACTAAACCAAGCTAAAGAAATTAGCCACGAATGGACATTGACAACAACTTTAAAGAATAATCGAGAGGGAAGAATGAACATTTTAGAATAGAAATCTTTCACTATTTATACACTTTCCAAAATGGACCTAGGCTATTTTCTACCACTCATTTTCCTAATTTCTAGCCTCACGTCCGTGGAATTTTTGCCGCTTGTACTTACTCGATGGAGCTTCTTTCGCTGCATGCTCGCACGTTCTGTAGGTAAGAAAAACTCAAAAAAAAAACATTAGTAATTTGTTTTACTTTAAGAGTGAATTCGACTTACAAATCTATATTGATAATTATATATATATATATATATATATATATATATATATATATATATATATATATATATATATATATATATATATATATATATATATATATAGAATCGTACTCAGGTGCGAATGCTTCGCCCAGGCGCGAAATAAGAATGGATTCTGTCCGTCCACGTGTCCAGATCTAATGGATGAAAAACACTGATTTTTTTAAAAAACGTGGTGGCATTTTTGTAAATAACTGAACATCGAAGTGCAAGTAAAATGTATTACAAGTGCATGTAAAATGTATTATAGGTGCAAGTAAAAATTTACACTGAGCATCAATACTTAGTTGCACCTATAGTTTTAAGTAGTTGCACCTATAGTTCTAAGTAGTTGCACAAATAGTTATAAGTAGTTGCACCTAGGTGTATGAATGTTTGCGAGTGGTTTTCAGGGGTATTACTACCCGCTGAACTCAGATCAATGAATGTTAACAAGGCAAAATTACATGCACTTATAGGTGAAAGTAGGTGCACCTATAGTTATAAATAGTTGCACAGATAGTTATAAGAACACCCAGGTGCATGAATGTTTGCGGAAAGTGAATGCTAACAAGGCAAAACTACATACACTTATAGGTGAAAGTAGGTGCATTTGTAAGTGATTTTACTTGCACTTCGATGCTCAATTATTTACGAAAATGCCACCGCATTTTTTTTAAGTTATTAGATCTGGACACGTGTCGCACGCTGATTCGTTCGCATATTCCTTCCTGGGCACTTATTCGCACCTGAGTGCATCCCTATATATATATATATATATATATATATATATATATATATATATATATATATATATATATATATATATATATATATATATTTATTTATTTATTTATTTATTTATAGGATAGTATACGTAATAATTATATTAGTATGTATTCTATATATTATTTATTATATATATTATATATTGTATATAAAAAGAACTAATTATTAGATAATATTTAATAATTAATGCAAAATTATTATAAAGATGTATCTAAAATATTAGTGTAAAATATGCCCATCAAATTTCCCCAAACTAAAACATTTGCTTGTCCCCAAGCAAAAATATTATTTGCGAAGTAAATTAAAATGAAATTCCCAAAACTCATAACATATCACGAACAACAATTTGAAGCATCCTGCAATTAATAAGTTAGTACCCCTATTTGAAAATGAAGAAAACTAAATAAGTAAGCCCTCACAGGAATATCACTCATCACTCAACTGTTTGATGGGTATATATTTCGCTCAAGTTCATTCTTATAAAATTGATCTACCATAGGCTTGCATATCTTCTCAATCACCACTACAAGAGCCAAGCATGACACAAATCATAAGGACTTTTCAGAGGTTGTAATGGGGCTAGGGTTAAGGTAGGGAATTTTTAGGAAAGTAGCTTAAACAGAACCTTCAAACTAGAGGAGCAAATAAATACAAATAATACAACACCCCCAGTTTCCATTCAAAAACACATCCTATTAGGGCTCCAACATGACTA